GTCTCTATATCAGGTCTGGATATGGCTCCTGTGGTTGTTGAGCTCTATGAACAATCAATCATCAATCAATCAATAAAAGTAAATAAGTCTGCTTCATATATGCCAGTGGTGTGTGGGAGCTGTCTTTTATCTCCTTAGGAGAATCAATTGTTAAATTTTCAGGAATTTTGCAAATGTCACATTGGTAGCTTAAAATTGGCCATGGTTGGAGTATTTACATCACAGAAATAGGCAAATGCTATCAATCAGAGCTTTTTTTCCTAGAGAGAGTTATTATACACTTACTGGCATATCACTGAATATTGGCATATATTGGTGGCACAGAAACAAGATAATGGCAATAAATTCTCCTGTTTGGAAAGAAGACAAATGGATACCACATAACAGTCATTGACCCATAAGAATTCTGGAACGTCACCGGGCAGTTGTTGCAAGAGCTCCCTACATTGGAGGTGGGGAACATTCCCTTATAAACTATTTCTGTTCCCTGCAAGTAGCTCCCAGGCTATGTTCTCAGTGTTCTCGGTGACCTTGGCTCTGCCCTCTGGGTGATCCTTTATTTTTCTTTTGCTCCTTGGCCTCACCTAAAAAAACACATTGGAAACTTCCCTCCTTGGAGGTTGCACAACTATTGAATCCCGCTTCTTGTGCACAAAAGATTGGCTCTGTATCTGTGGAACTCCAGTCAGTTCCATATACCAGGAGCCACACCTCCAGTTGTTTTCCAGACCTGCTCCTCTTTAACTGCTAATAATTCTAGCCTATCATGTTTCTGTGGAAGAGTCTGGAAGTCTCTTTAACCTGAGCCATGTTTTCCATTTGAAAGGATTTCCTGGACACCAGCTGAACTGATTTAGAGATTTCAACAAAGAACATGGCAGCCACACCCTTGATTTGGCTTTTGCCAAGAATTCGGGTTTTAATCAGTCTTTGTAGCTCAAAGCTTTTCTTAGTTTCCCCATTTTTGGTTTTTAACACTACAAGTCCCAGAATTTCTGGACTCTTTACTCTTTTTTATTTCTTCTTGCAAATGAGTCAATTCCTGAGCTCATCTCTTTCTTCGATACATACTTTGGCAAATAGAATCAACAGTGATCAATTTATGCTGCAAACATTATATTTTCTCACTCCTTCACCTAAAGTCACAAATTAAATGCATTCTATGCCTTCCAAGGTACTGTGCGTGACACTACCGCTCAATGTTTCACTACTGCATTCAGTGTCTTTCTGCCTGCAATAAGAGTTTCCTTGCCACCCTCTGGCCAGCCCCAAAACAGTTCACATATTTCAGGCATTTTTTTTGACAGCAGGGAACTCTACTTCCAGGACACCTTTTTGTATCATTCTGAATAGGCTAGTTTAATGGTAAGTATATCCCAAAATGTCAGTGGACGACACTAACAAAATTTATTTAACTTTACTTCTCACTACGTAAATGTTGGCTACAAAGGTTTGTGGCCCTACTCCACATCCTTTTCATTCAGGGATTCGAGCTGAAGGAGTAGCCTTTATCTAGGATATTGTTGGTCTCATGACAGAGAAAAAAGAGCATGTGTGGCTGACCATGAAATGGATCTTAAAGCTCTGTCACTTCTGCTCACAGCCCATTGACCAAGAAAGGCACATGGGTGATGGGATTTGGCTATCCCACAGGGAGGGCCTATAGGGAAGAACCTGTAGGGAGCAAATATTTTGGAATAATAATGGAGTATTCTATGGTAGCTGAGTCCGTCTGACTCCAAAGCTGTGTTCTTAAACACTGTATCATACTATTTTCTCTCCAAAATAGGGCTTAGCTTCATTTTGTTGTTAGAAGAGTGACAGAAGTTCCAAGAATGCTTTGTGACCCAGAGCAACTACTAGTGTGCTTTAATTTCTATTTTTCTAAGTGATACGAAGGCAATAATAATCAAGGATACGTGTCACAGCTGAACTTTTTTCAAACTAGCTGGAGACAAAATTCATTTCGAATAGAAAGAGTTAAGGGAAGGAGTTCGCCCACAGTAATATAAGGTGTATTTTCGCACCTTCTTTAGAGCTACGAAAAAGTTGTCATAAAAAATTATGTTCTTAAATGATGTTTTTCATCTTGAGAGATTACTTGTAATTACTTATCATTAGCTATGATTTAAAGCAGTTAGAGAAATAAATACTTTATCTCTCCTATTTTATAAGTTGGGAAATGTAACCCAGGTCTGTCCTTTATACTGGCACAATGAAGAAGGAGTTTAAAACAACCATACAGGTGACTCACAGAAACACCGTATACACATATGTTTCTTTGAATATATATTGAATATATAGAGAATTCTTTAAATATATATATAGCTTTTTTTCTACTCTTTATTTAGCTGGGATAAATCCAGCGCCAAAAGCCTGACTCTCAAAAGTGTCTTTTAAAAGAAAGAAGTTTGGACTGTATGTTGGAGCATTGTTTTTACTAAAGCCTTGGTTTTGGAGCCACAGGGCCTCAAATTCCTCTTCTTACTTCCAGTATATCTGGGGTGTATAGGGTAGTGGGGGACTCAACAGAGGCCACACGCAACGGGGACTTGCAGTGTCAAGATTAAAGAGGGCAGCAGGTTTAGTCAACGATTATCAGAGTGCAATTTTATATTTTCCTATCAGAACCAGGGTTATGCAGGCATTGAAGTCATATTCAGGCATTGGAAGCTGAGGATCCCTCAAAAGGATCTTTGACCATTTTTTTAAGCCTGTGAGATAAAGACTAGGAAGGAAGTGATTATTTAGCATGGTGGAAGAACTGATGCGCTAGAAACAAGATCAATCTATTTGACCAAATAAAATCACTGATCCATTGGCCCTACTTTGCTCTCCAGATTCCCAGGCTGGAGTTTCTATTGACTTCTCACATTTCTCTGCTTCCTTGCTCATACTGATCCCCCTGGAAAAAGAGCTTGGTCCCAAGGGCAATTAGGCAGACATTTTATCTACTGACCTTTAATAATGGCTTCATTCTTATCTAAAACAATTTCTAAACCATAATTAACTAATTACTAACGTATTTTCTACAAATGGGCAATAGATATTTGGGACTTAATGGTCTCAATAGGCTATTTAAGCCCCACACTTAGTACATTTAGATCATAGATTGCAGTAGTTTATTAGTCAGAAACAAGAGATATGTAGGAACAACTAGAAGTTTAGAAGATTATTCCTTGGAAGATATTTTCTCCCTCTTAAAAGCCCTCCCTTAATGCCATTTTAAGTGATCTGACCTTGGGCTGTAAGGTCAATTAGCTGAATTCAGGGGATCATGTTATAATCTTCTTAGGTTAGCAATTCACAATGAATTAAGATTTCTGATTTTTTGGCTTCTACATAGGCTCATCATAACGTAAAGTAGAGATGTGAGCTAATTATCCCGAAATTTAAAACCCTAGCTGTCTCAGACATTTTCTGATAAAAATATTTTCTGCTATTAAATGTATTAGCATAATAAGTAACTAAACATTTTAATAAACAATAAATTTATTGTGTGGAACCATTAAACACACTGGCCTCACAAATACTTGGCCTTGTGATTTCCAAATATGTTCCAAATATATTTCCAGATATTGTTTCCCATCCTTTCTACAGGCCTCATCAAGGCTTAAAATCTCTTGTTCTGCTATCTCAAAAGAGAAATATCTTTTTCTGACCATAACTTCTCATCACCACCTCTTCCTTTCATTGTCAAACCCTTGGACCTCCCCTTTTCTCTAAGTCTATGATATGCCCTCAGTATCTAGCTTGGATCATTTCTTCCCAGTTTAATCTCAATAGCACCTCAAAATACTCTCCTTCCTTTCACCAAAAATGCAGTGTAACGTGGGTCTAGAATGAGACAACTTGTGGGCCAAGTTGTCTTGATAGTGACAGCATGAATGGTGACGATCCATTCTTTACAGGCATCCAATTTCTCATCAGGAGAGAAAGTGTCCAATAAGAGAAGATTTTAAAGCTATAGCCTTGAAGGACATACGTTCTGAGGACTTTAAGAAAGAGAGAGACAGAGAGAAGGAGAGAGAGAGAGACTATCTGGGCTCCTGTAAGCAGGCCTGAATAAGGAATAAATGAAACCCTAAAGAGGAATAATAGATTGGGATACCTTTGAGCTGGTCTGGAAGATTCTGAATCTTCAGCAGCAGATTACAGTACCAGGTAGTGATTTTATGAAAACCCCAAAGTCTTGGTGATGAGGAATTTTAGGCTGGTTAATTTTAAAACTGCAGATGAGAAGCAGGCTCCGAGGAGTGGAATTTGCTTGCCCTTGGTTGGGAAACATTTACATTTCTAAGGGAAACCTCTATCTGTAAAGATGCCTCCCTCTCTGTGCCAGGAAGAGGGGGGATGGCCTTATCTCTAGAAATTCTTAATCAATGCCAGAGGCAAGATCTTAAGTTGTTTACTGTCTGGCAACCTCATGTAACTGACCCCCGCCCCCAAATCCTCCTTTGTCTTTAGCTGAGGATAATATTTAAGCGGTGACTTCTGCCATTTACCCAATCCGGTTTAATTCTTATCTAAAGGTTGTGGGACCACCAAATGGCCGGACCCTACGAGCACTGATACCATTTTAACTTTTTTACATATTCTTTCCTTTGTCTTGTAAAGAGATAACACACATACCTATGCCTTAAATTTAGCTCTAACCCTCAACTTGGGGCAGCAGAAGCTCTGACTGCCCATGGGTCCTGTCCCCGTGCTATTCCATACTATTCTCTAAATAAAAGAGCACAACTGCCAGATCTTAAGAGTCTAAGAAATCTGTCTTTCGACTCCTCGGTTCACCGACCCCGCATCATTGGCACCCCAGTCCTCCTTTACACAACAATTAAGACAGGTTTTCCAAAGGTAAGGGGAAAGATCTAACAGACCACTCCAGGGGTTAACGATCTAGTATCTTGAGGAGTACACTAGGTTGGATTACAATACCTTACCTTGATTTCCGACTCAAACTTACAGGAAGGAGTAGGGTCTCTTGGTAGGATTCTTACCAGCAAAGTGTATCTGTTCCTTGTCTCCAGCACCTCTGGGTCAGATCTGGTGAAGCATGCAGTTATTATGGAGTACGTATGTGTCCACGGGCATCGCAGACAGGGCATGAGACAAGAGGCCTACACAAGAGGGTGACGTGCTTGTTCACAGTTAGCTTTCGAATTACGAGACCCTCTCCCTCCATTTATAGCCAGAAGTGTCTCCTTCCACTGGGTCTTCCACACACTTTTCTTTCCACAGCTTGAGTTTGTTCTCAAAGCGACCACGACAGTGTAGTTGTTATTGAAGTTTCATCATTTAATTAAAGAGTATGTATACTAGTGAAATGTGAGTGTGGGAAGAACACACATTCATTCAATTATGAATAACTGAATGCTTTGGAGAAACAGGTTGATAAAGAATAATTGCTGACAAATGAGGCATCTGTATTTGTCTGGGTTTTCCAGAGAAATAGAACCAATAATATATACAGATAGATATATACACATATATCTATATATATACATACATATAAATACGTACATATAAAGAGAGAAAGATATTTAGTATAAGGAATTGATTCTCTCAATGATGGAAGCTGAGAAGTCCCAAGATCTGCAGTTGGCTAGCTAGAGATGCAGGAGAGAAGATGTGCAATTCCAGTCTGAACCCAAAGGCCTGAGAACCTGATGTGAGTTCCGGTCTGAAAGCCAACAGGCTCAAGGCCCAAGAAAAGTCAATGTTCAGTCTGAGTCCAAAGGCCACTAAAGACTAATGTCCCAGCTCTAACAGTCAGCCAGGTGGAGTTCCCTCTTATTCAGCCTTTTTGTTCTATTCAGGTCTTCAACTGACTGGACAAGGCCCACCCACATTAGGGAGGGCAATCTGCTTTACTCAGTCTGCCAATTCAAATAATAATCTCATCCAGAAACACCCTCACAGACACACCCAGAATAACATTTGGCAAGTGTCTGGGCACTCCATAGCCCAGTCAAGTTAACACATAAAATTAACTATCACAGCATCATTGTGGCATTTACTTAAAAATTAGAGAATTTCAAAAGAATTCTGAATTCAGATCCAGTGTATGGAAATTATAGATGATGTGTTATATGTGTGGTTTATGTGAGGGGATAAAGGATCTTCTGAATATGGTTAGATTCATATCTCCCCAAAAAGTTCTATGTTCTACATTAAACATATTGAAGAATAAATGAATATGTTTTAAGTAAAATAAAATATTTGCATACTTTAATATTTTTAATAATTTTTCACTTTAACAGAATTTTTTTCAACTAACGACCAAACGTCTGTCCCAGATGATATCAGGTAAAAGTAATTCAACTGTATAAGACCATAAAATTGACAAGTACTGTCAAGGAAATGAGACACTTGAATGTCAGAACTATTTACGAGGACAGCTTGATTTTGCCTAACGGCATCTTTTTTTCCTGTGCATCCTACATATATGTCAATTCTTGCTATTTGGTGTTTTAAAGATCACTAAGAACCTGAAAATATCCATCATGGCCATTTCCCGCCTCGGGTAACATCAATCATCAGATCACTCCCCTCTTACTATTGACTACTGAGCATTGTTAGAAAAAGTCATACAACGATGCCAGCTGGCATTATAACCAGTCCACGTTATCTAACATCTGCTGGGCAATCATTTACCTCTAATTAACTCTAACTCCATGCAGTTTTTGTTATACACATCTTTCCTGCTTTTTCCATCTTCTGTCTCCAAATCTGTGTGCATCTCCTTCACTCTCAGCAAACGGGAATCTTGCCTCCTATTTGAGAAAATAAAAACCACATGATAAGAGTTGCCTCCACCTCCATCAATTCAATCACAATATATAACATCCTTCTTTCTCATTTACTTTCCTCTTCCCTCAGAGTTTTCATCTCCCTCCCTAGGCAATCTCATTTATTCCCACAATATAACAGCACAGAAGTCTCACTTCCGCGTTTTCCCTGATGCAGTCATTTGACTACTAGGCGTCCTCAACTAAATTTCCAGCTTGTTTTAAACTCCATGACTTTAAATTCTTTAAGTTTCCTTTCAATTCTATAAAATGTTGTGGGTCTATAAAATTATCTGGATAGTTGTCTTTATTCTCCAGTTCATTTATTCAGGTCAAGATTGGTGAAAAGTGTTTTTGTTTCTTGTTTTTTGTTTTTCTATCTGTGGCACTAAAATTCCATAATCTTTTTATTGTGTCGAGTCTAATACTCTATCAAATTCTTCCTCCAGGACTTAGTCCCATAATGCATTCACTTTGGCCATCTCAATTATGAGCTTATTCCTATTCTAAAGTGAACTTGAATTTTCCTGCTTCTCCAAATGACAAGCTAAATGAAAGATCCTTGCCAACAGATTTCTTAAATGATAACCTAAAGTTGCCAAAATACTCTCCTGAGAGAGTCTGCCGTCACTTGAACAGGATCTAAGTCCAATAGGCACGGGCTCCCTGAAGGCCATACCTGCCAGCTGTCACCGAGCGCTTCCAGGTGGGCATCTCAGCTAATCGACATGCTGCTGAGGGAATTGGAATCCAATTACAGTGCCTCACAGCAAAGGCAATTTACCTTTCTTTCAGGAAGGGAAGGACAAAGTGCCAAATGCAGCAGGTTGCATATTTTTGCTCATAAAATACATAATTTGTCAAAATCATTTTCTCTAAACACTTTAATGGAAATCCTTGGCAGGCCTATGCGATAATGATTTCCATGTTAATTCAATACTCAGTTGTTCCAGTTTATCCCCAAACTCTTTGCATCTCTCAGGTAGTGCTGTCATTCTTTTAGTATGAGTCACATAACTAGACCATTTTCCAAGAAAAAAGGTATCTTTGTTACATTCAAAAGTACTCTTGGACTCTCCTTGGATGGCCTCTGCTGAAATTAGTCATAACAGACTCGATTGACTATGGAGCAATTTTTCATGACTTCTTGCATGTTGACTTACGTAGACCCAGAATATTGAAGAGAAGCATTACAAAGCAAAGGGATCAGGGAAACAGAGTTTTCAAAGTTAAGAAATCTCTTCTGTCTAATTTGCTTTATTAAGACTTCTTTCCTGATTTTAAAAATATCGGAATATCATTTATTTTACGGATTTTCTTTAGATATTTCAAAAATTTTCCTCAAATAAAATTTAAAATTTTTACCTCACCCCTTCATGGCAGGAGCAATTTTGCTGCCAAACTGGTAAAATAATAAACAAGAAGAGAAGATGTTGTTCAAGAGAAAAAAAAATCACCTCCTATTATAATAATAGACAAGGAGTGAGGCTTTTGGGCTCTGAGTCGATGGGAGTATCTTAGTGGTCGTATTAAAATGCACATCACATCACAAGTTTGTTTCTACTGAAAACTGCTCAGTTTGATCTGATATGTTATCAGTCAGATTTTAAGTAGCACTCTGCTTACCTTTAAGAATGTGATAATGTGTTCTACTGAGCCATCAAATGATTTCGTGTTTTGTTTAACCCTTTGAAACATTGTTGCCAGAAGGGTATAGAGTCCACGTGAAACTATTGTTTCCTCGACAAGGGCAGGCTGCCCGCCCTCCAGTTAGGCAAAATCTGTTGTTTTCGTCGTCAAAGTAAGCTATTCGGATTTCACAGCCATCACAGTTTTCCTTCTTTTCTCTCCTTGCCCTCAGGATATTCTCAGAGGGGTTTTACTCAACTCCTTATGATGCTGAAGTTGTTCGGGAGCGATATGGTAATTGCAGGCAAGCTACAGTTAAGGCCTAATGAACATTATGTTTATGAAGAATGTAGCTCTGATTTCTAAAAGCACTTTGGTAAATTATACAAATTAAATATTCATTACTTTGTACTTCATTAGTTCACATTTGGAACACTTTTTCTTCATTATAATAGCCTGGAGTAAAAGCTGCTTTTTTTTTTTAATACATTTTATGCCGTTATTTTTCAAAAACTCTTTACTTAGACTATTAGGGCAAAGCTGTATTTTTTCCATGGGGCCTATAATATTCTATTTTATTTTTTAAAAAAGACTACGTATTTATCTCACACAAAGAACGTGATTATGTGTTTGCAGTTCTTATTTCAATAGTCAGCATAAAAATACGTAAACTTTTAACCCTGACTTTCACTCGAAGTTTACTTGCTGCTCTTATTCCTATTAAAAAATCGCTATTTCATGAGGAGGAAACCTCGGTACTAAGTTAAAAGTACTGCAGAGTTATAAAGAATGTCTATTTCCCATGTTGGAATAACTTTACAGTGATTTATTAGTCATCAGGCTCTGAGAAGTTAAAAATCCTTTAAGTAGTAAGGTTGTTTGTCTGAGACAGGTGATAAATAGACAAGCTTTCTTGGCACGTGGAAATTAAAATAGAAAAAAGAATTATGATTGGAGCTGCTCTTCTCCACTTCTAAATACGCTAGTCAGCTAAAATGTAGTCTTCCCTCAATGCCTTCAGCAATTGTGTGTGTGTGAAATACTGAAAATAAGTAACTCCTCCTACCATTCTATCCGTTGAACGTCTGTTGCAGGCAGTCAGTCATACCGTTATAGTTAAACAACTAGAAACGGGTGACTTAAAATGTACTTGTAATCAAATTAAATGTCTTCAGATCTAGAGATTTTCAGATTTTTTTCATTTTAGATTTCCACAAATAGCAATTAATGATGGGTTCTCACTAAAAGATATTGGGGAAAGAAGTGAATTCTGAGAACATATTTTCAAAGATCACAGACAAGATGGTCTGCCTGAACTGAAATGAAATGATGTTTAAATTTTAAGAAGCACTGAGGGCCAGCCCTGTGGCCGAGTGGTTACGTTAGCACACCCTGCTTCAGCGGCCCAGGGTTTCATGGGTTCAGATTCTGGGTGCAGACCTAGCACCACTCATCAAGCCATGCTGAGGTGGCCTCCCACATAGCAAAACCAGGTCCGAAGGACCTACAACTAGAATATACAACTATGTACTGGAGGGCTTTGGGGAGAAGAAGAAAAAAAAGGAAGATTGGCAACAGATGCTAGCTCAGGTGCCAATCCTTAAAAACAAAGCACTAGACTAGGAGACGGAAACTTGAATTGGAGTTCTGGATGCATCACATGGTCTTTAGGTCTTCATAAAATCCCTCAATCTCTTTAAACATCAGGGATCTAATCTGGTAAATGGGAATAGTAATACTTGCTTTGCCCACTCCTCTGGGTCATGGTGAAAATACAGTGAGATTATGAAACATTAAAAAAACAAAAAGCAAACAAATTTTGAAACATGAAATATTCTATAGATTAGTGATATTAAAAATCCAAATCATGAGCTCCATAATTTCCATACACTAAGACGTCAACAATAAAATATCAACTCCATTTTAAAGCATGCACAGTGAAGAGAGAATTGTGGTCCAGGCAATTAACGAGATGCAATCTCCTCTTGAGTTCTAATCATCATATTCTCTCAGCAAGCTTCAGCAGGATAGTCATTACGTCTTTTAGGTGAGAGCTTATTCATTAATCTTTTTGCCTCTAGTATTTATTTTATCTGACTTTGCTCCCTTAGGGAATTTAAAGAAAATAATAGAGTCATAAGACTAAGCTTTCAGTAGGAACTTGAAAGAAAAGACAATGGATGGCTTTGTAGACTTTAAATATATTTATTTCAAAATTGAAAGGATCCAGAGAATGTCATGAAGTGAGGAAAGGAACAATGTGATGACTCAAGAAGCTTAGGGAACAAAACAGAAAATAGAACACAGACTAGGAAAAAGGTGTTGGCAAGTAGTTTTGCAGAATAAGCTGGAAAAGAAGCTCTTGAAAGCAACTGAGAAAGAAGAAAGGCAAAAGTGAAGATTCTACTTCAGAAAACTGCAGGTTTGATGGGGATAACAGTATTTTGCATGTATCAAAGAAAAAATTACTGAAAGGATGAGTCTTAGAAGGCAGAAAAGCAATCTACAAATAGATTCTGACATGTTATAAAGAAAGAACATCTGAATTTGTCAGGAGGATTCATTTGAGAAGAGAATGGTAATTGCAAAGAGTCAAAGATAATGGGGAAATTGCAAGTTAAAGTAATGGGATGGATAAGAATGACAGGCTAGGATAAATATTAGGACTAGCACAGAGTTAAGTAATAATGCCTATTTCCTGTTCTCTCTTGATCTGTGTTCATTCCTGACATTAAAACTTGTTGAAATTCACTTTATTCAATGAGCCTCTTCAAAAAAAAAATCACGGAACCGTGATAGCAAGATATTTCGAGTAGTTTTAGCCATCCACGCCTGGAATTCTTTCAACAGCATTCCAGCCAATGGGCTGCCTGGCTTACATGTGATCACCTCCAGAGATGAGATAGTCACTATTTCCCCAAGCAACATATGCCACATTTGGAGAAGTTTACAGGTTAGAAAAGTCTTCCTTATTATATTAAGCTGAACTTGCTCTCCTGTAACTTCTCCCCATAAGCCCTAGTCTACCTTCTTAGGGTCGCCCAGCGCGATACCTGCCTGTTCTGCTCAGTTCTGCATTCCTTACTTTCTCATACTAATGTATTGAACAGATATGTATACAACATAAATAACTGTGCTATTATAAATTCAACTCCCCTTTTGTCTTCACAGTGGTAGCAGAGCCCACCCCTCCATCAAGGTCCACGTCTTGACATTACCACAGGTTCAAGGTTCCGTGACAAACCCACATCTCCTCAATTTCCCAGGAGGAAGGAAACCTACATTTGATGAACCCTGTGATGTGCCAGAGATACGACATAGATTATGTCATTCAATCCCCTCATCAACCCTACAAAACAGATAATGTTATTAAACCCTTTAAACAGATACAGTAGTCAGTTTTATCCTTTCACACTTAGAGACCAACTATATAATTACTTTCCCAGGTACTATTTCTATGTCTGCTCTTGAATTCCCTAATGTATATTTTCTTGTAGTGTTTATATTTTTTATTATTTTTAATATTTGTTCCTCTAGAAGTGTTTTCCAATTCTTTCTCGAATGAGACAAGATATAAATAAAATAGTATTTTAAATTGACATTTCACATATGGGTGCTAAAGCTCAAAGAGGTTGAATAACTTGACCAAGAAATGATCAGACTCTGGAAAATGGATTCTCAGTAACTGAACTCTTGAGAATCTGATTTATAAGCCCAAAGCCTCCTTTACCACTTTTAATGGAAGATCTATGCGGAAGGATTACTGAGGCCCACCGTTGCACAAAGCACTCAAAGACCAAGCCACAAATCAAATCACATATCAGAGGACTGCTTAGTTAGAAGCACTCAAAAAAGAGTCTATGACGCCAAGGTGATATTTACATAAATAGAAAGTAGCTTGACTGTTAATCTTCTTTGTCTAGAGATATTTCAAGCTAAGGGTTTAAAAAACATTCCTTAAAATTGTAGCACGAGGTGTCTTACACATTCTTGAAGCTAGACTATCCAGGTTTTATTTTTCAAATTTCTTTTCTCACTGTTACCAACTAGTTACCTACATTCTCAGGCATAAGTCTTCCTAATATATTGTACATATGTGTTTTTTATTTAGGAAGAAAATGTTGTAATATTTAAAAATACCACAAAGATCTCACATCTCTTTAGGTAGAATCCTTGTGGTTTCCATTTCATGGAATGATGTTTTATGACCTCATTCCTAAATAGTAGCAATGTGCTTTGTCTGAGACACAGAGGCCTGGCCACATACTGTGAAATGAGTGATAATTTCCTTCAAGAAAATGGATGGTAACCATGTGATAGAAAAATATCTAAGACCAGGGAAAATAGGACCCTGGAGTCCAGGGATAGAGGACGTGTTCAAAGAGACCAGGTCCAGGGGAATTAAATAGGCCACAGCCATAAGGCCATAGGCCTGGGGCTAAGAAGGAGCTGGTCTGTGGGGACTCTTAGGATAAGAAGGGGCAGAGTTGATGAACTCTAGGAGCACTAATTTCTCTCATGGAACTCTAAATTTTCATATTCTGTTGTGTAATCTATTACAAAATCCTCAAGTCTTCAGGGAAATTTTCTTAAATTGTTACTTCTTAGTGCTGTGTCTTATGGATATAAGGGGGATGCAAACTTGGGGTTCCTTAGGAAGAAAGGAGATAATGAAAATGTAGAAGCAACTAACAGTATTGCCTCAGAAACTGAACCACAGGAACAAATGAAAAAAAGCTGTGTTTCTCCTGATGGTATCTGTAAATATTGTTTTGTATTTCAAGTTTTGACAGTCTCCACTAAATTTTTCAAATTATAATCATAATAAGCCAAGCTCCCAAATGGATATATTATCAGCTATGTAAAATCAGAAACACATACTTTCAGAAAGAGAGACAAGTATAGCAATTTGTTATACTTACAATGATAAAGTAATACAAGTAATAGAAAATATACTCCTTGTTTCATAATTGTGCAAATGAATAAAAAGGAACATAAAAGGGAGTGTATAGCCATTTTAAATTCATCATAAAACTAACTGTTACATATTTTGAAATTTTTTTTAACTAAGGTATCTTTTATATTTGAGAATCTGGTTTTTTAGTCTCTCAAAAATTAATAAAAAATTGACATTTCTAAAATATGATTCACTGAAACTGACAGAAATTTTTTAAAGTCTTCTTTTAAATTTCTTAAAAGACTTCAGAAACACATAATAACTTTATATTAGCTTATGTTACTCTTTAACTTGTGGGAATTAGGAAATTAAAATTTTAAGCAAGGTCAGTTCAATTACATTTCAAAAGCTTATCAGTGCTTTCAGCTCTTTTATCTTTTTCAGTCCTGTCATATAAATATTTGTTATCAAGAGTATTAAGGTCTTGGCAATAAAATTCTGAGATGAATACAGATTTCTCAGGCTATGAACTCAAATGTGCAAATCATGTCAATTTAATTTTCTATAATTGCATGTATTTCTACCTTGAACCTCCATTTTAACCAATGATAGCAACTTAATCTTTGTCAATTCAGAGTAAAAAGATAATTCAGAGTTTCTCAGTCAATCTACACTTTTTCTGAGTTAACTTTTATTTCCCTTGTGAGAAATAACCTTTTATTTTCCCTTGGACATAGTCCCTGTGGTTGTGTACAAGTTTTGAGAAGACTCACACAATGAGTCTTACATATACTCATGCTGCGTCCTCCAACCGTCCTTGTGCCTGGATGGTCTCCAGATTTTGGAATCTGAAGGACATCTAATTTCTCACCCAGTCTCCAATCATAGACTGCAAGCAAACTTGCTGCTGCATTCTTCTCCCAAGAAATACAGTACTACTTTCGGTCTGCTAGAACTTTCTCAGCTACTGCTGTGTTCCTCTCTGGGGTACAGGAAGTATTCAGATGCTCTCCAAACCCCTCTGGGCCCAATGGACACACACGGAGCTGTCTCCATGCTTCCCTAACCAGATAGTGGAGGGTAAGCCCTACAATTTAGGTTAGTGCTCTTAGTCTGACTATCTAAGATGGTTGAGTAATTGGCTCTTGATCTTCTCCCACCAAGACTGGCTCAGAAATGTGCTCACAGCAGGCTACATTAGGGTGGGGAGGCTGAGAGTGATGGCTGAGAAGTATCAGCCCTCAGGGCATTGTGTACTGTTTTTTTCAATAACCATAAATTCATTCGTGGTATATTCGAGATTCCTGTGGCACAAGTCCAGGTGAATGGTTAATTTTCTTGTACCTAGCAAAATACCAAGCCCTTCTTAGATAGTCACCAGCATCTAAGCTCCCTGTCGCTCTGGACTTACCCCATAGTCTCTCCCTGTGGAGGTTTTATCCTCTTGAAGGTAGTGGACGTTGTAAGACAACATCATGCACTTCTCTTGAAGCGATGCTCATGGAAAACACTCTTGGCCATAAGTCTTCTAGGACCATGGATTTTGAGGTCAAAAAAGAAAGACTCTGTAATCGTTTCACAGTGTATATGTATGTCAAATCATGACATTGGACGTTTTAAATATATACAATTAATTTTGTCAGTTATTCCTCAATAAAGTTGGAGGGGGAAAAAGGAAAGGCATTGAGACTCAACAAATTCTCTGTCAAACTTTTGTCTCTGTCATGAATTTCAAAAATCATTAGATGATTCAAGGATTTATTAGATCATTCAAAAATACTCTGGAATTTACAAGACTATAATTTATATTGTTAAGCATTTAAATCCAATCAATTTTGTTATCAGATAAGCCCTTAGCTTAGTAATCAGCAATTGTATAGATAATTTCCTCTGAATTATAAATAACTTCAACTTAAATACGACATTGTGCTTACTTGATTGGAGAAAGTGTGCTCTTGTTTTAAAAAAAATTCAAATTCTTTCTCAGCATAAGCTCTTTGCCACTATTTAGAAAAAATCTTTTTTTTTTATGCTAGTATGATTTTAACTGTAAAAATCAGTTTTATAACGCAGCTTGAAAAATACTCTCTGGAATTCAGCTTTTAGACAATTCTCTTGCAATTTTCAGTTGCTCACATAGTTCAATTTGCACCCTCATTTGGTAGTGTATTATTTCTAGTATTTTCATATCTGCTATGCTTTTACTTCTTTAAAGGATTGCCAATATTTTTTATTTCAGCCAAACTAACCTAGGTAGGAAAGACAGAGACAAGCTTTTCCTATTATTAAGACTGGGATGGGGCTGGCCCAACGGCGCAGCGGTTAACTTCACACATTCCGCATCTCAGCAGCCTGGGGTTCGCCGGTTCGGATCCCGGGTGCAGACAGGGCACCGCTTGGCACGCCATGCTGTGGTAGGCATCCCATATGTAAAGTAGAGGAAGATGGGCACGGATGTGAGCTCAGGGCCAGTCTTCCTCAGCAAAAAGAGGAGGACTGGCAGTAGTTAACTCAGGGCTAATCTTCCTCAAAAAATAAAAATAAAAATAAAAAAAGACTGGGAGTTAAGATGTCTTCTCCATAATATAAAAATGACTTCCCTAGTCACGTTCTAGAATGTTGATCTTTGGTCATTCCTTAGTAAATCAGTAATAACTCCAGATTTATACGTCTAAAAGTGCTCTTCACATGAATACACTTCCCCCTGCAAAAACCAAGACATGCAATTCTGAAATATGTCAAAAAAGAGATTAAGTAACTGTGGACTGCAGATATGTTCTAGGGGAAGATGACTGCCGATGAGAATATCAAATAGTATGAACACTAAAGTAAATAATTCAGCGGCATCTAGAAAATTGAAGATGAGTTCACCCTAAGACCCAGCAAACCCACGTCTAGGTAAATATCTCAAAGAGACTTAAATAGGTGTATAGGAGACACGCACAAGGATGGCATGGCAGCATTATGCCAACGGTGACGATCCGATTCTGAAGGACTTTCAATAGAGGAATGAAAAAATAAAATATCAATACTACAAAGCAGCTAAAAATGAACTTGATCTCTATCATATCAACGTTAGTAGATCTCAAAAACATAATGTTGAGTGGCAAAAGCAAGCTGCAGTTTCAGATTAATACATAGAATGTCATACAAAATGCATTTGAAAACAGAAAATAGCAATAACACGTTGTTCATGTGCGTATATACTTAGAAGCATAAAAATTAAAAATGGATCAAATTCTTCCTTTAAAATGTAAAATATTCTTGGTCAGAAATGTTTGTCTTTTTTTTTTAACTGATGTATTTCAAGCATCTAGAACTCTGCCCAACACGTAGTAGGAGCTCACTAAATCCTTACTGAAAAATGCGTTCATGATAGTGATTGCTTTGGCGTCAGTCTGGGAGGGAGATTAACTACGGAGTGAGAAACAAGAGTGTGAGGGGCCAGCCAGTGGCGTAGTGGTGAAGTTCATTCACTCTGCTTTGGCAGCCAGGGGTTCACGGGTTCGGATCCTCGGCGCAGAGCTACACACAGTTCATTAAGCTATGCTCTGGCAGCATCCCAGAAGCAGAATGAGGAAGATTGAACAGATGTTAGCTCAGGGCCAATCTTCCTCACACAAAAAAAGAGAAAGAAACAAGAACATCGGCTTTATCTGTAAAGTAATATTCCCCTTATTTAGAAAGAAAGAACAAAAGAGAGAGATTGAAGGACAGAGGGGAGAAAAAGACTTACAAATATGAAAAGAAGTTGTTTTTTTGTTAATTGGTCCATGGATGTCTTTGTTAACTATTCCTGTACTTTTCTGTATTGTTTAGCTTTAAAAGAAAACTGCAGTCTTACAAACTGCAAACCATATTTTTATAAACCACGTACCTGAAAAAATAATATGGAATTGTAAAGGAAATTCAATGGGAACATCATTACCCTCAATTCTAAACCCTGCCCACTCTGATAATACGTTCTAGTTGTTTCATAGGTATTCATTTTGTTTTCTTCTTTATTGTGAGCAACTCATGTAGAACCTCTCAATCTTTAATGTGTCATGTTTCTCCTGATATCTTGATTCAGAAGTCAGAATATGTGGCGTCTAGCCCCAGTCCCACATGTAACTAGTTGTGTGACCTTCACCGAGTTGCTCAATGTGGAACTTTGCTTCCACATTTGAAAATTAGAGACATTGCAAATGATCTCCCTTACAGCCCCTCTCATATGTAAGATTTAAGGACTTTATAATCTACATTTCCTTTTACTTCTAAAATTTGATATTGATTTTCTCATTAAATTCCTATTACACATGTTTTGTACCTTTACTCGAGCATCAAACACACCCTCTCTCCTACAGTGACTACACAGTACATGGGAAGACACAATAAACGTTTGCTGTTTTAAGGGCAGTAAGTTCTAGAATGCTAATTAAAGTTTTTTAAAGAATCACATGTCATGTCAGTCCTGTGTCTTCATAAATGCTGTGTTAATTCAAGCCACAAAGTTGCGACAGAAGAGGCTGTTCCTTGGATTGTTAGCTTACAGCAAGTCAGTGGGAGGATACATATTCTTTTGTCTTAATGTTGCAACATGTTGATATGAGCATGCAGATTGCCCATCTCTTCCCCTGTGCCTTTGAGCAATTACAGATCAGATGACAGGTAATCCGTGAATCTCTGCCTTTCTCTGACATGATCCTTTTGAAGACAGAGCAAGGTAGACCTGTTTCTGTGTGACTAAGTTCTATTTCAACAGCCCTGCTTGAAAACCCAGTTACTATGGTGACATATGGTGACAAATAATCTCCTTCTCAACAACTAAAGTTCTCCCCTGTTCAGTAAAAGTGGTATCTATGGCTTAATGGTTCAGCAAAAGGCTGACACATCTACGGCCTTATTTCCGACTGAGAGGTTTTTAATAAGTAGTTTGAGCTCCTGGAATCTGAGAAGCCTCAACAGGTTCTGTCTAAATTTAGCAGGGTCAGTGTTAAAGGACATTTCCTGGATAGATCAAATACTGTGTAATTAGAATATGCTGAATTGGCATGCCAATATTTGACTCTTTTGGGGGGCAATGGAAAGAGAAAGAAACAGACAACCCCCTGGGTCTTTCAAAGGAAAAGGAAACTGACATAAAGGGAGTAGACACTGTTCCCCGAGAGTGATTTTCCTGTCAAGAGCTCCAGCTCACCCTGGAGCTCACCCCGCTGGACTCCCACTAGCCTCTTGGAGCTGTGGTTCTAACTATCTCTCTCTCAAAAGATAAGGAGAGTGGAAGAAGGGCAAGTTTCCTATCACTGCAGAGACGTGATCTTCTTGGCATTCTGAGTGGCATCTCGGAGCGAATATTATGTATTTTCCTTAAATACATATTATTTTACATAAGGATTAGCATCAATAACAGCATACGTCATGGGTTAGGATTGTGGTTGACTTGTTGCATTAACACCCTCTATGTCCCATTTATATGACAAACTATATCCTCAGTACTGAATAACTGCCTTGAAATGGAATTTGGAAAAAAATAATTATGTTAGATAACTGTGTAAACTGCTACACTGTGAATACCCCAAAAACCAGAAACTGCTTTCTTCATCTTCACACACATCTGGCAATCGCACATATCTGATTCGCATGATGACAGGCACACAGTAATTAATAGTGTTTGGGGGTGAATAAGACACGAATAAATTTACTCCAAAAGTCTTCTGTTATGGGAAATATTTTCAGATATGTTCCATGTGTTTATCACAGTTCATCTTTAGCTGTTTTCAGGAGAGACTTTTCTATCGCCTAGGGAAAACTAACAGTCAAACCCTCCAGTGAAGGTCAACAAGTAAGAAAGGTGAGGAAGCTAGGTGTTCCTAAAATGAACCGATAATTACAATTATAATCACGGACTGCAAATTAACCAGGGTTTCAGTCTGTGAGTAAGAACATCTGATGACATAACATTAACATGTTAAATTAATATCTACTCTGAGATAACAATACAGCTTGAGGCCAAATGCAGGCTTCTGGCAATCCTCTAGCATGTACTGTTGGCCATAAGGCCTGAATCAGCAGATATTTTTTATCATTAGATGATGCTTCTACCTTGGAGACTATGGTTTTAATTGTGATCTCTATTTGTAATTACTAATCAAAATGCTATGAACCAAAAACAAAAAATCTCTTAAGAATATGACACTATTTTTTTACTTTGATAAAAGATTTTGTTCTTTACTTTGTGTGTGTGTGTGTTTTTCCAAGTTGGGGTACATGATCTTGGTAAGCCATGTTGTTGTTAGTGCCATGAGTTGATTCCCATTCCTAGTGAACCTGTGTCCAGCAGAGCAGAACCCTAACCGGTGTTTTTGTGCCATCCTCTCATCTTCCCACGCTCTGTCAGACAACGCTCCGCTGCCATTCACAGGGTTTCCATGGCCATTTTTTTCTGAAGTGGTGGCCAGGTCCTTCCTCCTACTCTTAGTCTGGAAATTCCACTGAAACCTCTCTACCAGTGGTGACCCTGCTGGTACTTGAAATACCAGTGGCATAGCTTTCAGCATCACAGCCAC